TCGTCCCTTAAGCAATCATTGATTCATGCATCTGTCAGTAGCTTTCTAGTCGATCAGTCAATCCGTCAATCACTCAGTCATTTCTACAGTAACTTATCAGCTTATCAGGTAACACAAATAATAGTCTACCTTTGTTCGTTCTATGAACTCGGAGCTGTAAAAAAATTACTGTGAAAAAAATGAAAAGCTTGTAAAAACGATAAATAAAAGATAACAATATAATTGAATTTTTCTTGGTATGTTCAAATATTTATTATGTAATTTTATAAGCATAATTTTGAAAAAAAAAAAATAATAATAATAATAATTAAACATTTTTTGTTTGCTTTACATATACATGTATATATGGGGTATTATATATATACACATATGCATGTGCTTTATATACATTCATTAGATCGAAAAATCGCGTCTTTCAATTATTATAAGTAACTAAATAACGATTTAAAAGTATTAGATATAAGTTTATATAAGATAGCGTATATATCGAATATTTATAGTTCTTTTCTTTACATATACAGTAGGTTTAAATATTGTGTGTGTTTTAATTTTTATATGTAAAAAAAAACATATTTTGTATTTTCCAAATTAAAAGGATTGAACAATTTCCAAAAAAAAAAAAAAAAAACTTATTTTTCTTTTAATTTTTTTTTTAGTTGTTTTTTTTTCTTTTTTTTTTTTTGGATTTCATTGGTTTTTTTTAGTTTATATATATATATATATATATATATATATATAGATATATATATATATATATAGATATTTTTTGTATATCAACAACTATGGGTATATATAAACATACATTAAACATGTATGTATATATATGTGTAAAAAATTGTAAAATAAAAAATAAACGTAAAAGTGTTCATGCAACATTTGCTTGTTGCAAGTTTTTATTTCTTTTTCATATATTTGCGAGGATTTAGAGGTTTTGGTTGTTGTTGTTTTTACTTTGTTGTGTTTCACTTGGTTTACAAAAAAAAAAAGTTTAATAAACTAAATTTGAATTGCAAAATGCATAGCTTATTTTTCCGTTTTTTTTTTTTTTTTTTAAATCTTTAGTTTAACGAATAATAAATGAAATTGCTTTTATTCTTTTTTTTTTTTTTTTTTTTTTTTAAACTTTTTTTCTTTTTTTTTTTTTTTTGTTTTTTTTTTTTTTTTTTTTTTTTTTTTTTGTAACGTTTTTGCCATTTTTTTTTTTTGTAGTTTTCTTTTTGTTGGTTTATTTTGTCTGGTTTGTTTTATTGTTGCAGATAAATTTGTACGGTTTTCAAATTGTATTTAAGACTCTATTATTTGTATTTTCCTATACATTTATATATGTATATATATTTACTATAGGAAACTAAGTGCATTCGTATTGATTGGCTGTGTCTATGTATAAGTGTGGTTCTGTGTGTGGGTTTACATGTATGTATGTGTATGTGTGTTGAGTTTGTGTTTGTGTTTGTTTATGATAAATTGTACAATAGTCTTTTGCTTATCTTGTAATTTGTATTTTGTATTTAGGATTTTACTGGTATTTTTTATCTACTGTATTTTGTATTTCTTTTCATTCATTAACTGCATTTTTCTGGATAGTTCATCTGATTCTAGTGTAAATTTTATGAAAATATTGGTATTGATTTCCTTTTTATTTTGGTTTTTTTTTTTACGTTTTCTTTTTTTTTTTTTTTTTTTTTTTTTTTTTGGAAAAACATCAAACCAATTTTTATATATAAAAATTGGTTTGATGTTTTTCCATAAATTGCTTAAACACCTGAATAGCATTTAACATATATATATTTAACAATTTTTTTCTTTGTTTTTCTTTTCTTTATATTTTTAAATATCGCGTTAAATGAAGTGTATAAGATACATATATTATATATTTTGTATGTATAAAATATATATGTAAAAAAAAAATATATATTTATTTATGTTTTAGGGAGCAGCAGTGCTAGATTATAGTTTTCCCGTTATCTTTCATCTTTACTTTTACTTTCATCAAAACACTTGTAAAAAAAAATTTACTCTTATGTTTTCTATTATGTTTCAAATGTTTCTTGTCTAATTACTTGTAAGAACAAACGCGTTTGCAAGCCTTGGGGATAACTTAAGAAAATATTATATAAATTATCAAATTGTCTCAGCAATTCTACTCTTCCTTTTCTTCTTCATTTAATAACCCGAAATTAAAAATTTGAAACTAAGCATAGGTTAGGAACCCAGCGACACTCAGGTAAAATATCAAGTATCAAAGCAAAACTAAAATTTTATAATATATATATATATATATATATATATATATATATAGTTATTATAGAAAGATATAATTTATTGTGAATCCATGAGCGCTATTTGCCTAGAAGTTCGTTGAAACGTCGTTATAAATGTATCATAGTTATAGTTCATATTAGTTGTACTAGCTTCCTAGTAGTTTATAGTTAGTATGTGTTTCTTTTCTTCGTTTTCTTCTTTCCTCTTCCTTCCTTTTTGTATAGTTTTTATCATTATTTAATTATGTATAGTAAAAAAAACCAAAACTAAACCTAAATAACAGTTTTGCATCATGTTTTGTAAGTTTTATTTTGTTTGTTTTTGTTTTTGTTTTTGTTTTTGACTTCAATTGAATAGTTTAGATTATGTATATGCATATATAGGTTTATACATGACAAAACTTGCTTTGTTTTTGTTTATGTTTTGTTTTTGTTTTTGTTTTTTTTTTTTTTTTTAATATATGTACATACATACATATACACATCTCTTATTAGCAAAAAATCGACAGTTGAACAGCTGACAAAGCTCGCTCGGCTTTAAAAAACCTTCGCAAACTGAGCAGCCAATGTTTTCTTCTTCTTTTCACAATTTTCCCTCTCTTCCTTGTGGTTGCAGTATATATTTCTAAGAAAATAATCTATTGCTCCTGCCTATCATCATATCATGTTCTTGTTGTTGATTCTATTTTTTTAAATTGATATTTCTATCTCATGCTCTCCTATTACTACTCTTAACTTTTCGTTTCGTTCACTCTTGTATTATTATTACTTTGCGCATTTCATATGCATAGCTAGAAATTTGTTAAGATCTTTAGTTGTCCTAAGCATATTCTTAAAGCATGTCAGGACGACAACAACAAAATCGAGAAATTGAATTAATTTCAATCATTTCTAAAGTTGCATACATAAATGTTCGCATCGTATTTCATATATGTATTTACATATCTATAGTTTTTCATTTCGAAAAATTTTTTTTTTTTTCAGGAAAAAAAAAAAAAAAAAAAAAAAAAATTTGATAAACCGTAATGTGTTTTCTATTTAGGCAGTAAGAAATGGTTTAAGCGCATTTTGCGTATGTCTAGGAAAGCTATCGATCGATTTGTAACGTTTTTTTGAGACGCTGTCGTCGTTCTGCTAGCTAATATAATTATATATATATATGTTTTTGCAAATAAAAAAAATTATAAATATGGGCTATACGTCTAATTGTATAAAAAGATATATATTAGATATATATATATTCATATATATTTATATATATGCTTGTATGTATAACGCATATGCTTCCGCATATATATTTGTTTATAGTAACTTTCTATATAACTTAATGTTTATAGATTGGTTTTCCTTTATTTGTATTGTAATTCTTATTATTCTTCTTCTTTTTATTAAAAGATTTTTTTTCTTTGAATTTCAACTTTTGGCGCCGCTTCAAAATTTGCGCTCTTCCTTTCGTCTAATTTCATTAACCTTGCTGTTTGCAGTTTGTTTTGACTCTTATATTCGCGTTCTCTCACGCTTTCTCTGCGTCTCCTTCCCTAAATTTGCTTTCAGTGAGGCATATCTCCTCTCCCTTCCGCTCGCTTCCCTTCTCTTTCGCTCCTACGTGTTGTTGTTGTTGTTGTTTGCTTTTAGTGGCTCATTCGTTGCAACTTTGTCTGTTTTTCGTTTCCGTTTCCATTTTTTTGTTTTCTTTTCTCGTTACGTTCTACATTTTTTTGTTTTTTGTTTTCTCCGTTTGTTTGGTTTTGTCCTTCTCACTTTTCGCTTTTATTGTTATTCATTTCTTGGTTAAGTAAATAGAAACTAAATTCCTAAGCATCTAATATATATATATATATATATATATATATATATATAGCTCTATATGCATTCATACAAAAAATATGTAAATATACAAAATAAAAATGTTAAAGAAAACTAGGAGAAAAGAGAATATGAAGTTGTTTTCTTTCCATTCGAAATTCCCCTTTCATAGTTCTACGTTCGATATAAACTTTATAGTTTTTGCTTCCAACTTGCATTTTGTTTCACTTCAAAATCAAATCAAAAATATCACATGAAAGAAATCCAATTTAAATCACTATGTTACAGTTATATAAGAAAATATATATATGTATATATATATATATAGCATGTATAACATACGTATATAGCATATATAGCATAAAGCCAACGCAGAAAGCTTAAAAAAGGATGTTTATATATATATATATATATATATATAATTGTTAATCTATACTATTCGACGATCGTTTGTTATTATTTATAGCATCCGAAGCAATAGATAAAGTCGATAAGACTATCTGGCTGCCTCGTCATCATCATTATGGTTATGGTAATTATTATCATGGTTATCTGTTGTTATCTCTTATCAATATCGAGACATTGTTCGATCGATCGCTCGTATGCTCTACTGACTAATACTAAAATCTGATATTGAAGTTCAAAAAATGCTTATTTGGGCCTACGTCAAAGTACACTTAAAAAAAACAGTAGTCAGCTTGCGACTACTCTCTCTCTCCCCCTCTCTCTCTCTCTCCCTCTCTCTCTCTCTCTCTCTCTCTCTCTCTCTCTCTCTCTCTCTCTCTCTCTTTCTATCGGTCTATCGATAATTACCGCTTAACATGGATTGCTTGCAAACACGTTCTTCACTTGTAGTCCTATCTTACCCGCACTTGCTTGCATTCCTCTTTCTCTCTCTCTCTCTCCCCTCATCAGCCCTCTTTCTTTCTCTTACTCTTTTAGGGCTATCATCATTCAGCGGCATTCTTACTCAGACTCATGCGCAGGCGCGCCAACAGCTCCTGCTGCTGCTTGAGCTTAGCCTTCAACAGCTGACGTTTGACGTTCAGGTCCCGCTCCTCGCTGGTCAGCTGCTCGCAGAGCCTGGCCGCCTCCCTCAGGATGTTCACCTTGGGCGCACGCTCCTTGTCCCTAATATTGGGTATTTGCGTCTTGAGTGCCTCGAACAGATTCTTGAGTCCGATGCGACGCTGACGCTCCATATCGTTATGCAGATTACGCTTCTCAATCGTATCCGCCTCGTCGACGCTCAGATGGCGTTTCAGCGCGTTGCTGTTGATGCTGCTGATGCTGTGGATGTGGATGTGGGTGTGGCTGTGGCTGTGACTGCTGCTGTTGCTGCTGCTGCTACTGCTGCTGCTGCTGCTACTGCTGCTGCTGCTGCTGCTACTGCTGCTGCTGCTGCTGACGTTGCTGACGTTGCTGTTGCTGCTGCTGGTGATGGTGCCAATGCTGGTGCAGTTGCTGCCATTCGACAAGACGCTGCGGACGTCCTTGGCATCGAAGCCGTTTGAGCTGAACTTCCCACGCTTCCGCGGGCGCTGCTTGGCGAGCATATAGGAACGTGCCTGACGCTTGGACGCCGCCAGCAAGAACTCGTTGCAGTCGGGCATGTAGAAGCGCTTGCGGTTCTTCTTGCCGAGCGGCGCCACGCCAATGACGCAGGGCGGACTTAGGCAGTCGCTGCTGCTGCTGCTCTCGGGCGAGTAGGTGGCTACCCCTGCGCCTGCGCCTGCGCCCTGGAAGGGCGTGCTCGAGGGCGACGGGTAGCGAGAGTTGGCCACAGACTTAACGGGACTGCTGCTGGCCGGCGTATAGGGCAGCTCATAGCGCCTGGACGAGCGATGAACCACGATGCGATTGTCGCTCGAGATTTTGTTGGCCACCTTCGTCTGGAGGACGCGACGATCGCGGTCCGAGGGATTCGTCGGCAGCTTCTTGTCGTTAAGCGAGACAACGTCGATTTCCTCATCTGTGACGAAAGGGAGAAACGAGAATGGAAAACAAAATGAGTTAGTCACCAAGGCACCAAGGCAAGGAGTCTAAATATACATTAATTCTATGGTAGGGTTTATGGCTTATGGTTTATGGTTTATCGCTTAAGGCTCATGGCTTAAATATAATTTGGTTTATTCTACCAGTTGGCTAACGTTAGTTGTGCTCGCGCATTTCTGTCTCCAATCCGTCAATCAATAAAGCCAATTCATAATTTATTATACATACATATGTACATATGTAGATAAGCGTATGTATGCGCTTAGCTCGTGTCGTGTTTCCTAAGAAAGCCCTGCAAATGTCTAGCGAATGTCAACGAGAGTTCAATGACTACAGCATAGAAACATGATGATGCCATTGTGTGCGTGCTGTGAGTGTGGGTGGGCGAGTGGGGCTGGTTGGCTGGCTGACTGGCTGGCTGACTGGCTGGCTGACTGGCTGGCTGAATGGCTGGTTGGGGCATGCGCTAGGCCCCACGCAAAGCGGATTAGTGTGTCAGCGTTGCGAGACAAGTGGCCTGACGCCACTTGCAACAGTATCAGAATTCAGGAAGTAATAGATTTGCGCACAGACAGTGGGCAACAGGCGACCGAGGGGGCGAGAAGGCGATAGCAACCCCCAACTCTATCGGCTCCTTGACGCCAGGCGATGCACAACAGAAAACTCACTTTGGCAAAAGTATTGAAACAGCCATAAAATATAACAGTAAATAAATAAAAGTTATCGCTAATAAAGAACGACAGAGCTGGCGGGGGCGAACGATACGACTCTTTCCTCTCGGCCTCGATCCCTGCCCCCACCCCAAACCATGCGGATTTCAGCTTCCGTTGCTAATTTGGCTCTTCCGCTGGAGCGTGCGCGCGCGTTTATTGAACCAACCGAAGCGAAGAAGAGTCGCCGTCGCCGTCGCAGTCGCATGTATTTTAAACTAAGAAACTCTTTGCCTTAGCTTATCAACAGTTACTCTAATCCGTCTGCCTCATTGCCAAATATGCACAAACATACATACATACATACATACAACGCATATTTGCACATATGCTGATTGTAAATATGGTGTGTGTGTATTTGGCCTCTTGCCTTGGCAACTGTGCAAACAAGTCGAGAGACAGAGGGGAAGACGTGATGCAGAAGAGACCACAAAGAAGTTGGAGACTGCAAGCAAAAAGCATAAAACCAACAACAGCTACATCATCAAGCTCCAAAGTTCAAGCAACAACAACTACAACAGCAAATCTTCGAGATCCACGTTCAATATTTCAAGTCCAAGTCCAAGTGCATCGAGCGAGTGAACGAGCGACCGCAACGAACGAAATCGAAACCACGCAAAGCAGAAGCGAGAACGGGAAGGAACTGGGCTGGCGAGGGACAAGGGCGAGAGGCAAGGGCAAGGGCAGCCAAGCGTTGCCATAGTGGGCAACCACCTTTGGCAACATGTTGCATGAGTCAATGGTGGCCGAGCGTTGGCATTATCAATGCAACAGCAAAAATCTTATCCAACCACCAAACACGAAAGTGAACATCATCATCATCATCATCATCATCATCATCATCATCACCAGCAGCAGCAGCAGAAGTCTGCTGGCTAGACAAGCAGCAGACCTTACCGGAGACCCCAGCAAGAATGTTGCCCAGCGGCCATTTTATTTTCTTTCTTTTTGGAGCCTGGAATGCGACTGCAGCAACAATGTCGCTCCCCATGTTGCTGACACAGCAAAAACCAGAAAGCAAAAAGAAAAAATGTTGCTGTGCATTTCTTTTGCTGTTCTTGTCTCGCAGTAGTCTCATGCGGACAGCGCGAAGAGGCCGCACGCAGACGACGCGACGCGACGCGAATGCGATGCGATGCGACGAGACGCGAATGCGATGCGATGCGACGAGACGTTGAGCTATGAATGATTTGCATTTTGAGAACAAGCCCACAGCGCGGGGCAACAACAGCAATAAAAGCATTTTGAAAAAAAAAAAAAAAAAAAAAAAAAAAAACTTTAAGGTTTTTAAA